GTGAGGTCAGCTACCCTGAGAGACTCAAGGTCACCTGCGAGCTCTGTGCCTGAGTGGCGACAGAACCTTGGTCTCCTCTACTCTGATGCTCCAACCACATTGACTCTTTTAAAGATTGTTTCACACATGGGCATAAACTTCCAGAGGATGAGATGAGGGTGGTGGAGCTGACACTCCCATGGAGATTTTCCAGCAGGGTTGGGGTCACCTCCCAGGCTAATGGGCTTTTCAGTATCTAGTAGTGTTGATTTCTAGCTTTAAAATCAGTTGGCATCCCAGAGAAGCCCAATTCACCCCCTGTACGTGCACCATTAAGGACCGTAGCTGAGTGGTAGAGGTGCTGAACAATGCAGAAGGTCTCAGGCCCAATCTCCAGCTTCTCTAGTTAAAAGGAGTTGGCTCTGATAGTGGGGGATATGAAAGACAGTGACTGACCCAAGGTCACCTGAGACCTTGGAGAGCTCCTGCCAGTCCGAGTAGCCAGTGCTGGCTTTGTTGGAGCAAAGGTCTGATACTCTGATTCAGTATAAGGTGGCTTTATGTATAACTGTGTAGATGAGGACATTTATGGCAGAGACCCAGTTTGGTGCAGTGGTTAAGAGCAGCAGGACTCTAATCTGGAGAACTGGATTAGATTCCTCACTCCTCCACATAAAGCCAGCTGGGTCACTTTGGGTCAGTCAAGCTCTCAGAGCTCTCTCAGCCCACCAGCAAGTCTAGCTCGCCATCTAGTGATGGATAGCGCTAGTGGTGCATAATGCTAAAGAGTTAGACCTTTGGCTGCTGAACAATCCTTGGATCTCCAGGCTGTACAACACAGACTGCCATATGATGATGATGGCAGGTGATGTTTTTCAAACTTTCAACTAGTCCTGTTTACAAGTTACAAGTATGTACAATATGTACAGTGTACGCTTCATTATTTTTATTATGCGTATTGATTAATTCTGATGTTATACTCAATGCATGTACAACTGCTACAAGCTCCAAATTTAACCGGAACTGGACCTTTGTTTCAGGTGCAAAGTAAGCATGCATTGGTTCTTTCTTACAAACAGATACATGGACATGCATCCTGGACATACGTGCATCGATTGTAACTTGTGAACAGGGTCATGGTGACATGACAAACTACACCTGCTCAGAAGTTCCCTTTCTCGTCTCCTGTCCCTCCCTTCCATATAGCAAAGATTTTTTTGAGCTGTTTTTGTTAGAAGTTGACTTTGGGCCTCTGTCTTCTGGATCCAGAGTATATGGTATGAGGCTAAGAGGGCTTTCCCAGATTAGGCCCTGCCCCCTTCCCAGCCTTGACACAGTGGTCCCTCTGGAAACTGAATAAATCACATCTCTCTATTTATTTATTTAAATAATTTCTATGCTACCCCTCCACCCGATCAGGGTCCCCAAGGCAGTGAATATGAAAACATTACAATAGATGAACAATGAAAAACATTTAAATTATGAAATAATTTAGTAAAAAACACATAATCATACAATATCAGAACCAGGGAGAAGGGCCAATAACCATTATTGGGGGTATGTCAAATGCAACAAAAAAGTCTTCACCCATTGGAAGAAGACACTGAGAGAGGAAGACAGACTAATATTCCTGGGGAGGGAGTTCCAAAGTTTTGGTTCCCTGACTAAGAAAGCCCTTTGGTCACCAGTGCCCATTTAGCCACAGATAGTGGTGTGTGTGTGGGGGGCAACTGAAGCAGGGCGCCTGAAGATGACCAGAGTGAACAGGTAGATTCATGGGAAGAAGGTGGTCCTTAAGGTATGTTGGTCCCATGCCAAACAGGGCTTTAAAGGTCAATATCAATGTCTTGAATATAGCCCTGAAAGAAATTGGAAGCCAATTTAGGTGAAAAAAGACTAGAGTAATACGGTCCCTATGACCCTCTCCAGTCAGCAATCTGACTGCAGCATTCTGTATCAACTGTTCATCTATTTGGCAAGATATTTTTTTTACATAGAAAATTAACATGGCATGTGTGCTGTGCCCGCATGGAGAGAAAGTGTTGGTGGTGTTCATGTATTCCCCAAACACTTAACATGGCATCCACTGGAAGGGTAACTGCCCGCCATTCAGGTGCTTAAATAGCAGGAAAAGGATGGACAGTCTCTTCTTTTCAGTGCAAATGTGTGGGTGGAATGGGACTGGAAAAGGAGTTCATAACTGTGATTGCAAAGCACAGCGGTTAATAGCTCTTATTCATTAACCTGAAATAAAAGCTTAATGATCTCCTTGTCTTTAATCCAGAGTACTGTTGCACCTCTTAAATCCCATTGATTTCAGTAGGATTTCATCAGCCTCACTGCGTACAGAATTGCAGCCATTCTAATGAAACCCATTAGGGATCATTGCCATGAATTCATTAGTTAATGTAATGCACAGACCAAAGGTACAGTGCATCACTTAATACAGATACAGATGTAGATTTAAACTCTCATTAAAATGCTACTTAGGATACAGTTAAACTGACTGGAAGGCAATAATTTTCGTAACAGAGTGGAGTTGCATAGAAAATTACTCCATCGCTTCTCTTTTGAACTAAATTTTCAACACTATTATACTGCTGGAACCATTATCGTTATTTATTTATGTCATTCATACTCAGCCTTTCCCCCCAGTGGGGCTTCAGAGCAGCTTGTGTTGTTCTCCTTTACTCCATTTTCTTCTCACAAGAACCTTGTGAGTTAGTTTAGGCTGAGTGTGGGTGTCAGGCCCACACTCACCCAGTGAACTTTCATGGTGGAGTGGAATTTGAACCTGGGTCTCCCGGGTCATAGTCCAGTGCTCTAACCACTACACTGCACTGGCTCTAACCATGGCCATCTATGTCCATGATTTTCTTTTGGACCCATTTATTTGTCCAGAAAAACTTTCTACACATACCGTAATCTATACATATTTTCACCCATTTGGCATATATGTGATTGTTTTTAAATAACAGAATAATTTGGGGTCAGCCTGTCAGGTCTTTGAAAGTGCTTGTACAGCAGACTGGAAGGAGAGTTCCTTGCGTTCTCTTAATGGTGTGTTTCCTCCCCTTCATTTGGTATGT